AATTGACTGCTGTAAATAAGTTGCCACTATTAAGTTAACACGCTTAACATTTAAGTTGATTATTTCATCTGTGTGACGTAATTTAAACAGTTGATAATTAAAGAAACGATATTCAAGATGCACAAACTAAAGATGAACCTTTTAGCCACATTGCTGCCATCAAAACTGCAAGTGTCGGATAATTCCAGGTATTTTTATTCTGTTTCTTTCACTATTTAGTATAAATAAATGTGTTGTTTTAAACTATGTTAAAAATTCTGTTATAGGTGGCACTCGCTGACCATATACATGTATTTGTCTCCTTATTGCCTGACGGTACTTGCGCTCATTGTTGAGTTAACATTTAAACTTTAACTTGGTTTATGTGTAATTGTCCTTACTGTCCATTGTGTTGAAGTGTCTGTCAGCTTTTAAAACAATTCTGTGTTGTTTCAAACTAAGTATTTCAGTAATTTTATCTTGGAAAAGTGCATAATATCACTGTTAAGCCTTCCCCCAGAGCTATTTATAGCGCGTCAGTGACTTTCGTTTCTAAAAATAGAAGATCAGGAAACAATTTATCCGCTTTACTAATTTACATATAGATTAAAGTTAACAAGGGTTTCCTTATTGTTTATGTATTTTATTGATCTCAAATTTTATTTTCCACCTTCATTAAAATTCCTGATTTTGACAATTATATAAAACGATTTAATTTTTCAACCTTTAGAAAAGCTGAAGGCTGATTTAAAGGTGAAGGGATTACAATTTTAAAATAACAAATTTTAGCAACCAGGCTTATAGATTATGATGGCTGCATCACAACTGCAACTATCGCCAAGCCACCATCGTTGTTATTATTATCATTGTTATTAATTACATGTATGTTTACAGTCATCATCATAATTAGTTAAATTATTACCAGGTGGAAAAATTTCAATATGCACAATCTGAATTTAAGAGAAGTACATTAAGATTCTCTTGCAAGTTTGAACTTTGTTCTTACTTCCAAATCTTGTGCTTGTGCCAGTATTTTATGTTTTTGAAATGAGTTTGTGTAACATTATTTAATTTATATCTTTGTCTAAACCATCACTAAAGACTTTGATAGGCCCTGTCAAGACAAACATGCATTTTATGCTCAGTTTAAAATAAAATCGGGTAATTGCGTTATGTCATGAGATGCCAGACCGCAGCCCGTCACACAGATTGCGATCTGATATCAGATGCTGACAATACCTATCTGTGTTAATCTACCGAAGCTTTTAATCAGTGAAATATTTGTTGTCAGAGCTCTTAATCATTGTCAAATTTTTATTACGATTTTGTTTTGAAATTTGTTCGAAGATTTGTTTTACGAGGCAGGGTATCTTGATCAATGTAAGAAATGTGAAATGTTTTATTTAGGAGGTATCGATAGGTTTTTGGAACACCAGGAGTCGAATTGTTTATAAATATTTCTCAACTTTTTGAACTTGTCGATTAAAGCGTTAAATTTCCATGAATTTTTCTTGTATGACGTTGTTGATAGTTTGTTTTGCAATCGTAATCGAGATTTATAGTTTTTGACGTGCTTAAACTTTTCCGTAAAGTTCATCATTTTGATACTTGCGATTTTTTGTTAACAAAACCAATGAAAATTGTTTTCTTTACAACTGTTGAAATTAAAGAGAACATTACTACATTTATTGATTATTATTGAAAACATGTTAAAATTCATACTCCACAAAGTATTAACAATATCTCTTCTGTTATTAAGAACGGTGGCATTGTGGTCAGAGGGTTTGAGTATCAGGCAAAGTTTATCTTCTGTATCACATGACATAGTGCAAATGATGAAATTAATATCATTGGAGAATTCATGTTGGTTTTCTTTTTGTCACCAAGGATGAAATGTATTAGATTTCTTCTCGCTTTTTGAGTAAACTTTTAAGTTTGTGGTTAAAATATATACTTATGTAATTTGTGATTTTTTTTGTTTTTGATTTTTTTTTAATTTTTTTTTTGTGGATTTGGGGAAAAAGTGAAAACATTGAGTGCATGTGTATAAATAAAAATACAGAATCAATGATCCTGGTTTTGAAAGAAACGGTTAATTCTGTTATTTTGAAATTTGTTGAATTATCATGTCGTGGATATTTTTTCTTAGAACCAGTGGAAAATATGAGGTCAATAGGTAGGTGAATGATTTCATTTCTTTCTAAAACATGGTGCTTTTATTGTTGATTGAAAAATATTTTATTGAAGTTTTGATAAATGAATTGTTACAGTACTTATTCTTTGAAAAATTGGTTTTGAAAAGAAAAGTATTTATCAAAAAGGCTTTTTATATTTCATGAACAATGTAGTAATTGTTTGCAATTGCATGTTATATAATATAACTACATACTTAAAGGTTTTAAAAAGTTTTTTTTAAGCTTTGTTTACTGAATCTTAAGTAATACCTGTAATTTGAATAATCATCATAAAGGGTGTTAATGAATAATATAAGGGTTTAATCTTTGGAATAATAATATATTATCCAAATAATGGCTATGGCATGCAAAGCTGGTCAGCAAGGTGTTATTATGGGGAAAGTTTTTAGAATCAACATTTCACAGTTATTGCATTAAGTTGTAAAAGTCGCTGACTTTAAATCACTAACCCCTCATTGCAATTGGTTCTAACCCTGTTTGGAACTTTGGATTCTTTCATGTGAGGAGGCCATCAGACTAGTTCATGGTTTTACTCTGGTGCCCCCATGTGCCTGAATAAATTAATGAATTAAGGGACACCTGAGGTCTTAGGGATTTCATTCTGAACAAATTTATTGAAATGCTGTGCAAATCTGTCAGTTGTGTTTTGTATTTTCAGCCGGTTGATTAAAATATCCACCTTGATCCTTGGTCAAATCTGTTGTTTTTGTTGGCAAATCTGTTGCCTCAGATAAAAATAAAAAAAACCCATAACCGTCTTTCTCCACCAGGAAAGCTTAAAATTCACTATAAGACTTTTTAAGGTGTGGCTAAATTTATTCGGATAAAACAAGTAAATAAAACTATACCAAAGTTGATCAAGCTATATAACTATGGGGAAATGGTCGGAGATATCATGTATATCTACCTGGTAGACATTAATGCCATTGTTTTGCTTTTACTATGATTATACCTGTGGTTTATTGTGATAATCTGATATAAAAATATGCAAATAATGTCTTATTCAAACAGAAATTTGAATATTTCACACTTATATACTACTTCACGATGGTTTCTGTATATTTGATTGACCTGTTTGTATGATTTTGTTTTATTGATTCAGAGATATAAACACCCAATACTTTCGAGCTAATTATCATTCCAGATTTTATAACACAGTTTTTCTTTAAAGGTATGTACGTGATATTAAAAGTTTAGTTTAAACAATAATATTAATATTATGAAGATTTCTTTCAAAATGATTTTTGAAGCAGGACTCCAGGGGCTGTCTCTGAAAAGTTTGACTATATCAGTTTGTTCTCATGGTGTTATAACATGGTAGGTTGTTGATTAATGATCATGACTGCTGTGGGTTCAAATCCTGACAGGGACTTTGGATTCTTTCAAGTGAGGAAGTTATCAAGCTAGCTCTCAGAACGTTGGTGGTTCTACTCAGGTGCCTGTTCGTGCCTGAAATAATGCACGGAAGGGCACCTGATGTTTTCCTCCACCAGTAAAGCTGGAACGTTGCGATATGACCTATACTGTGTCGATGTGACGTAAAACCCAAACAAACAAACAAAATCCTCCACCAGTAAATCTTGAAGGTGTACCGGACCAACAACAGAAAAATAATAAATGAATAGTTATTTAGTAAGATCAGAGTTAAATTGCCCTACAATTATTGCCATTTGTAACTTTTTTTTAAGGGTCTTATTTATTAATGGGTGTCACATACACCATTTTTTCGAAGGGTCTTAGTAAAAGGTTTCACTGTATACTATATACTTTTTGTGAACAAAAACTATGCAGCTTAAAGAAACTTCACTGAGGTCGAAAAACGTAACATTTGAATTTCTTACATACGGTATATCAAATGGGACACTTATACAGAAAGATATGCAATAGATAATAAATAATAAATTGAAAATTGTATTTTTGTGTTATTCTTAGTCCGATTTGAGTGAAAAGCATTGCAAAGCTTTCAATTTTTTGGTCATTTAATTATTCTGGAAAAACAGAGTGAGCAAGTAAAATATAAGTCTAGACCTACATCAAATAAAATTTTAAACTTGAAAAATTATTTCTAGTCCAGTGACAGTTAAAAAACCTCAGTGGAGTCCCTTTAAAGATGAAGACAAGACTTTGCATATTGTTCAAATCTGATATTATAATAGTAAATGCACATGGTATAAATAAACTGCCATCTATTCAAGCATCTTCCAAGGAAAATAAATTTATTCTATGAATATTGATAGAACCTTTCCATTAACCCTTTTATCATGTAACAGTAAGATTTGTTCTCAAAATTTACTATCTCAAGCTAATGATTTGTTGCAGAAACTCTTTGTACCAGTCTATCTTGACATTGTTTTTACTGAATCTGGTAGCAACTGATTCCATGATAAATTTGATTTAAGAATACCAGAATGTCTGGGTTCTATATAATTGTAATATAATTAGTCTGTATTGTCTCAGGCAATTCTGATCTATCCTGATTTATATGCACCATGAATTCTGAGTTTTATGAGACAGTTATTAAGATACTATTGTCAGGAACATGAACTCTGTAGGTTTAATTTTGAAGTATGAGTTGTTCCCCTTTGTATAGAAATTGATTAGATGTACTTTTATCTGTATACTTTTTTCCCAGGTATTTGAACACGGATGCGAAAAAAAAGAGATTTTTTTATAGCAATCAACAAACATCAGCTTTTGTTTATTTTTTTCCAGCAATCAACACATATCATCTGTTGGAATAGATTTTCAATGAATTCAAGGTTCCTATTCAAGGTTTATTATTAAAGGTTTCATATTTGATACATTTTCATTGTTTGTATATTTCAGTGGTAAGAAGGAACTCCATCGGTCAAAGACCCTGCCCATTATTCGGGCCCCTAAAGGATGTTTCACCCAGGAGGAAGCTCAGCCGGCACAAGCAACTTTGGAGGTTCCGAAACCACTGTCGAGAAAACAGTCGGTGCCGATTTTAAATATCCTGAAGCGCAGCAAGACCACTCCAGGTATTTACATGCACAAACTTTCACAATTGCTTTTTAGCTCACCTTGCACAAAGTGCAGGTGAGCTTTTAGGATGGCCAACCAAATGGCGTCCGTCGTCAGTCGTCCGTCCACATTTTAAATATTCTAAGGACATCTTCTATGATACCGCAAGGCCAATGTTAATGAAACTTGGCAGGAATACTCTTTGTATGAAGCTCTATCAAGATTGTTCAAAGAATTCCATTTCATGCAGAACTCTGGTTGCCATGGCAACCGAAAGAAAAATCTTTAAATATCTTCTTTTAAAGAACCGTAAGAGCTAGAGCTTAGATATTTGGCATGAAACATCTTCTAATGAGTGTCTACCAAGTTTGTTCAAATAAAAGCCCTAGGGTCAAAATTGGCCCCGCCCCAGGGGGTCATTGATTTTCCCTATATGCATATAGTAAAAACTTAAAAAATCTTCTTTTAAAGAACCCAAAGAGCTAGAGCTAAGATATTTGGCATGAAACATCTTCTAGTGAGTGTCTACCAAGTTTGTTCAAATAAAAGCCCTGGGGTCAAAATTGGCCCCGGCCCGGGGGGGTCATTGATTTTCCCTATATGCATATAGTAAAAACTTAAAAAATCTTCTTTTAAAGAACTGTAAAAGCTAGAGCTTAGATATTTGGCATGAAACATCTTCTAGTGAATGTCTACCAAGTTTGTTCAAATAAAAGCCCTGGGGTCAAAATTGGCCCCGCCCCAGGGGGTCATTGATTTTCCCTATATGCATATAGTAAAAACTTAAAAAATCTTCTTTTAAAGAACCGTAAGAGCTAGAGCTAAGATATTTAGCATGAAACATCTTCAAATGAGTGTCTACCAAGTTTGTTCAAATAAAAGCCCTGAGGTCAAAATTGGCCCTGCCCCAGGGGGTCATAGATTTTCCCTATATGCATATAGTAAAAACTTAAAAAATCTTCTTTTAAAGAACCCAAAGAGCTAGAGCTAAGATATTTGACATGAAATATCTTCTAGTGAGTGTCTACCAAGTTTGTTCAAATAAAAGCCCTGGGGTCAAAATTTGCCCCGCCCCGGGGGGTCATTGATTTTCCCAATATGCATATAGTAAAAACTTAAAAAATCTTCTTTTAAAGAACCGTAAGAGCTAGAGCTTAGATATTTGGCATGAAATATCATCTAGTGAATGTCTACCAAGTTTGTTCAAATAAAAGCCCTGGGGTCAAAATTGGCCCTGTCACAGGGGGTCATAGATTTTCCCTATATGCATATAGTAAAAACTTAAAAAATCTTCTTTTAAAGAACCCAAAGAGCTAGAGCTAAGATATTTAGCATGAAACATCTTCTAATGAGTGTCTACCAAGTTTGTTGAAATAAAAGCCCTGGGGTCAAAATTGGCCCCGCCCCAGGGGGTCATTGATTTTCCCTATATGCATATAGTAAAAACTTAAAAAATCTTCTTTTAAAGAACTCAAAGAGCTAGAGCTAAGATATTTAGCATGAAACATGTTCTAATGGGTGTCTACCAAGTATGTTCAAATAAAAGCCCTGGGGTCAAAACTGGCCCGGCCCCGGGGGTCATTGATTTTCCTTATATGTGTTATAATAGCAAAAACTTAAAAATCTTCTTTGAAAAATCCCAAATAGCTTGAGTTTAGATATTATACATGAAACATTTTTAAGTAAATATCTACAAAGTTTGTTCAAATAAAAGCCCGGGGGTCAAAACTGGCCCTGCCCCAGGGGTGTCATTGTTTTTAACTATATGTGTATAGTAAAAACTTAAAAAATCTTCTTTTAAAAAACCCAATGAGCTAGAACTTAGATGTTTAGCATGAAACATCTTCTTATGGGTGTCTACCAAGTCTGTTCAAATAAAAGCCCTTGGGTAAAAATTGGCCCGGGGGGGGGGGGGCTATATACAGGTGAGCGACCTCAGGGCCATCATGGCCCTCTTGTTATATATTTAAAGGAGGTCAAAATCTATATTAACATAAAATTTGAATTTCTTACAATGATCAAGTGAAGCACATAACTTGGAAACATTCTGTAAAGGTTAATAAACAAATATACTCAAACTTAACTTGAATATCGATTTTTGTGTGGAATTCTTTACCTGATTTGGGTGAAAAGCATTGGAACGCATTGGATTTTTGCATCATTTTGGACAATAAAAAATGGATATATTGGAAGAACTGTGTTAGGGAATGATCTGAAAATTTGCACACAAGTTATTGGTCCAGACCACCAAAAAATGGAACAAAAATTTTGGAAAAATATTTCTGGTCCTGTCACATAAAAAAAGTCCTTTTAAACTTACCTGACATTCTTCCCAATTGAATTCCATAGATTGATGTTATAACTTACCTGACATATAACCTATTTGTCTTGCATAATTTAAGAAGAAAGTCAAGTTCGATAATTTAAAAAAAATGAAATATTTTCTTTTCAAATATGGCAGTGTTTTGATGTGGAAATCCAATTTTTGGGAAAATTTGATTTTTTTTTTTTGCTCATACTTACACAGCCTTTTAAGTAACCTTAAAAATTGAATGAAAAGTTTCAAAGTCAACACTGAGCAAATTTATTAAGTATATTCAGTTATTTAAGGGTTACATAATTTGCAACCATCAGCCACCGGCTAAGTTGATTATACAGCCTATCTTAAGTTAGCGTGACTGGCGACTGTAGATCAGTGGGCCAGATCTTGTGGGAGTAGTCATTCATTACCAACATCAGGACATATCACTATAATGACCGGTTTTTATGACCGTTTTTATGACCGTCCAATGTGACTTTGTTATGATTTCTTATGACATTAACTGCCAGTATATATTTTGTTGTAGAAAACATGTCTAAATCAATTGATTTTTTTTTGTATTGGATATCTCATGGCCATTACATACAGTGAACTGATTCTATGTCTGTAGAATGATATTAGATGATTTGATGAAAAAAATTACTGAGGAAAATACGATTATTTTTGTAAAACAAAATATGACTTTTGATGTTTGTCAAGATAGACAATGCTTATCCTTTAACCTTTTAGAATTGATACAGATTAGCCTTTGCCACTAGTAGAGAGCCAGGCCAGCCTGTATATTGGCATAGTCTGCCAGGCTCTAATACTGTTTAGAAGTTTCGATATTAAACTCCCTTTAAACTTTGAATAGACTGTTCCATATTTAATTAAAGCAGGGTAATTCCATAATATAATTTCTGTAGGTAAAGTGCTCATGAGTTTATGATTATGAAAATTTGTCACATAGTGGCTGCTTAATCCAATTTTTTGGATTGTCCATCATAGTTTTTTTGAAAGTTTTTTTTTTTTTTTGTATGTGAATTTTTACTGTGTTGATAATAGTAGTTTTAAAAATACATATTCAAATATTGGTATCTTTACTTGTTGCATCTCAAAATTACACTCATCACTACATCTTTAGTGAGTGACCAAACAAAGGTGTCTTTCCCGATTCAAGGCTTCTTTTAGTCATGTGCACAAAATTTAGGCCTTTTATCTTGGTGATAATAATATAGGCTTGAACAAGATAATTAGCTTAAAATTAATTGAAGAGTCTTGTCAATTAGTGATCTTTTTTCTCTCCAATATTGGTACACAACTGTCAGGTTTACTTCTTGTCTCGTTTTTGCCAGACATTTTATTTCAAACATATATCATAAAGAACCATAATAGGTGACAATTTTCCACTGGTGATGTTTATCTATTATTTATTTGACTCCCACGCAATATTTGTCTTCCATCTCCTATGTGTTAAGGATGGCAATTCAGTTCACTGGCAAGGGAATAATGAAGGAATTTATTGTGTCTTGACAAGAAAACATTGTCTGTATATTTTAGATTTAATACCTTGTAAAATAATTCTTTGGTGACAACAATGGTGAAACCTATAATGTCACCAATGTAAATCATGAAAATTGAATATTCATTAATATTTAGATGAACGTGTAAAACAATTCATTGCAAATAGTTCTAAAAAACATTTTTTCATTGCCAATACTTCTAAAACTTGAATAATTGCCAAAAGTTGAACAATAATATGAAAACAATGTATTTCCAAAGTAATAAAAGAATGCATTGCTATTGTTGAAAAACACTGCATTGCCAATTGTTCAAATAGTTATAAAACAAAGCATTGCCAATAGTTCAAAAAGTTATAAAACAATGCAGTGCCAATAGTTCAAATAGTTATAAAACAATGCAATGCAAATAGTTCAAATTGTTATTAAACTGTACATTGCCAATTGTTCAAATAGTTACAAAACAATGCATTGCCAATAGCTCAATTTGTTCTAAAACAAAACATTGCCAATAGCTCCATTTTGTTCTAAAACAATGCATTGCCAATAGTTCCATTTGTTTTTGAAACATTGCATTGCCAACAGTTCCATTTGTTTTAAAACAATGCATTGCCAATAGTTCAGAAAGTTATGACACAATGCATTGCATACAGATGTATATCAATTTCTTATAATTCTAAGTAATGTGTTGCCATTTGTTCATTGACAACAGTTTCATTAGTTCTTTACCAACAATGCATTGACAATACTTTTCTTTACTTTTAAACAATGCATTGACAACAGTTCTATTAGTTCCAAAAAATGCATTACCATTAGTTCTAAAACAATGCTTTGCCAATAGTGTCATTAATTATTAGTCATGCATTGCCAATTGTTTCATTAGTTCTTTAACAATGCATTGCCAGTAGTTTCATTATTTCTAAAACAATGCATTGCCAATAGGCAATAGTTTCATTATTTCTAAAACAATGCATTGCCAATAGGCAATAGTTTCATTATTTCTAAAACAATGCATTGCCAATAGGCAATAGTTGCATTAGTTCTCAAACAATTCATTGCCAATAGGCAATAGTTTCATTAGTTCTCAAACAATGCATTGCGGATAGTTCATTAAGTTCTTAAAGAATACACTGCCAATAGTCCCTTCTTGAGAAATTCCACAAAGCAATACCTGTACAAAGATGGAAGATTGAGATATGATAACCTAATGCAAGGCTGGATCTATTCTTGTAGTAGCAATGAAAACATTCAAAGATTGAGTATAGATGAGAATATTAGGTTGACACATGTTGATGATAGGTACACCAAATGCTTCATGTTTCCCTGATACCTGTCTGCCAGCAACATAGACAATATCACCTGCAAACATCAACATCAAATGTCTTATCTACAACAACAACAAAATGCATTGTAAAATTAATATCTGCAGGAATGCTTTATCTACCAGTATTCCATTTCATCTGTTTACTGTTTTAAGTTTTTTTTACTCAAAAATATTTTCCATAAAATCTAATGAAAATATTATAGTGGTAAACATTTAAAGAGGAAAAAAATGTAGGGTTAAATTTGATGAAGTATGGAAGATACAGGCTGCATGATTAGTTCTGAGAGATGCTCACTGTGCTGATATAAAAAAAAATAGAAAAAAAAAAGAGATAAATTTTGCTGATATCAAAAGTGCGAAATAGAAAGACTAAGATAAAAAGTTTACACTTTTTTATTATTTTTATGAGCATCTTGTCAGACCTAATTATGCAGTTTGAAAAGTAGCAAAAAAAGAGACCTGTTATCCCAAGATGCACTTTTGTTGAATACACTTGAACCTCTGTGCATGCAACGATCATGGAATGTATGTGACAATCATGACATCCCAATGCCACATATGCAGTCATTATAAGTTGAATGCTTATATTTGGCATTTTGGTATAAAAATTGGGGAGTGGCTGGGTGGATTGAGCATAAAAAACCCACATTTCCTGTGTTCTGGATAACAATTATTCAAAGCAGGACAAGTCATTATAATGTCACCTTAGTGCAGTAACAGGTTAAGTCCTTCTTAATTTAATTTGCATTGATCAGTTATTGCACTTAGTCTAAAGGTGGCTATACACTGTATATAAATTTAGCACTGTAATTTGTATATGTGATAAACAAACATGCCTTACATAAGTATTTCATATTGAAAATTACAAACTGTTCAATGTAATTATTATGCTCTTTGTGTCTAAAGGTCAGTTAATAATCCTCACCCTTGTATCAGATTTGTTTAGAATAGACCAGGTGAGGAGAATTCCTGCGGTGAACCTGCGGAAACATCACGTCTAAATGATGTTTGACTAGAAAATATATACATCTGATTAATTTGTATTTTTGTACATTATCATTTATGATTGAAATTGTTGATCACCATTCCATAGTAATCATTGTAGCTTTTGTGTCCAGTCGCCAAGTGAGGGTTTTTTTTGTATAATAATCAGCTACAATATATATGATGGATTAGGAATATAAATGTCAAATCACTGTAATGAAAAAATGTAATGAAGATTTGTGGATTTTTTTTTTCGTATTGAGTACTGCCGGTACCTTTACTGACTGTGTAATGCTTTAGATAGTTGCTAACATCGTTGTTTGGAATTATTATCATTTTAAAGAATTACAAATTTGACAACTGTAAGACTTGAATTTGGATTATATATATTTTGTTTTGAATTTTAAAAAAGGGAAAGGAAATGCAACTTATAAACAATTTTAAGAAGATTAGAAATTTTACAAAATGGGCAAAAATATTAGAGAGACATTTGTGAAAATATCGATTGAAATGTTAGGTTCGATGAAAAAGTTAAAAATAAAGTGAAGGACAAAATTGGCGGCAAAAACACTGAAAGATGTTCAGTTTTGGTGAAATTTTATAGGAAACTGAGCGATTGAATTTAAATGCTTTAATCATAAAATAATAAAATTTGTTGAGGATAAGAGGTCATTAAAGCCAAAAAAAATCAAAATAAAATGATGAAGAAAATGGAAAGGCGTTTGTCTAAGGTCAATAGGATAGATACGATGCCATTTTTACTAGGTTATCGACTTTTCAATTCAGATGGACCCAAAGACGCGTTATCGCATCAATATTACAGGAGTAAGAGCTGTGAGCGGAGACGTAGTATGGGGTTCGTAGACAAGTACTCCCCGCCATTGAGCAAAGGTAAGGTTCGTTTGATGGTGACGTACATACCATATATATATAGTAATTTCTATCCTTTACACTAAATCTGCTTTGAATTTGGAACAGTAATTCAAAGTTGAAGGGATTTCAACATAAAAATGTAAGAAATTGAGCTTCAAACAGTATAGAACCACGGTCAGACTGCACGGGTGTCGACTGTCATTTAAGCTTGGCTCTATACTGGTGGCAAATCACAGAATTTTGTATGAAATGGATTTCCGCTGCTTTGAATTTGGATCAGTAATTCAAAGTTGAAGGGATTTCAATATAAAAATATAAAAGTTTAGCTTTTTACAGTATAGAGCCTGGTCAGACTGCACGGGTGTCAACTGGGCCTAGCTTGGCTCTATACTGTAGGCAAATCAAAAATCAAAGTTGAATCACTTTGAGCTTCAGCAGTTTTAGTGTTTAGTAAAAAATATAACATTATCTTCCCTTCTTCTTGTAAAAAATTCAGCTTTAATTATCTTCTAGTCATATGTATGGTAACAGCCTATAATCTAATTAGACCTTTCTTCTAGACAGATGTTTAGCTATAACTTTTAGTAAAAAAATGAGCTTTTCTTTAGTAAAAATATAAATATAACTATAACATTCCTTCTGGTCAAAAATATAACTATACTTTCCGAGTAAAAAATATGACTATACTTTTCTAGTCAAAAATTTATTAACTATACTTTTCTAGTCAAAAATATAACTACTTTTCTAGTCAAAAATATGTTTATACTTTTCTTGTCAAAAATTTAACTTTAACTTTCTTAAAGTAAAAAATTTGACTTCTATTCAAAATCATAACTCTAACTTCTCTTCTAATCAAAAATTCAATTTTATTCTGTTCAAAAAGTGTTCTTTACTATCATTTACCTTAATGTAATGAACTATTCTGTGCTTTTTAGCTCACCTGTCACAAAGTGACAGGGTGAGCTTTTGTGATTGCTTTTCGTCCGGCGTCCGTCCGTCCGTCGTCTGTAAACTTTTACTTTAAATGACATCTCCTCATAAACCACTAAGCCAATTTCATCCAAACTTCACAGGAATGTTCCTTTGGTGGTCACCTTTGAAAATTGTTCAAAGAATTTAATTCCATGCAGAACTCTGGTTGCCATGGCAACCAAAAGAAAAAACTTTAAATATCTTCTTCTAAAAAACCCAAAGAGCTAGAGCTTAGATATTTGCCATGAAACATTATCTAGTGAGTGTCTACCAAGTTTGTTCAAATAAAAGCCCTGGGGTCAAAATTGGCCCCGCCCAAGGGAGTCATTGATTTCCCTATATGCATATAGTAAAAACTTAAAAAATCTTCTTTTAAAGAACCCAAAGAGCTAGAGCTAAGATATTTAGCATGAAACATCCTCTAATGGGTGTCTACCAAGTTTGTTCAAATAAAAGCCCTGGGGTCAAAATTTGCCCCGTCCCAGGGGGTCATTAATTTTCCCTATAAGCATATACTAAAACTTAAAAATCTTCTTTTAAAGAACCCAAAGAGCTAGAGCTAAGATATTTAGCATGAAACATGTTCTAATGGATGTCTACCAAGTTTGTTCAAATAAGAACCCTGGGGTCAAAATTGGCCCCGCCCCGGGGGTCATTGATTTTCCTTATATGTGTATAGCAAAAACTTAAAAAGTCTTCTTTGAATAAAACCAAATAGCTAGAGTTTAGATACTAAACATGAAACATCTTCTAGTGAGTGTCTACCAAGTTTGTTGTAATAAAAGCCCTGGGGTCAAAATTGGCCCCGTCCCGGGGGTCATTCATTTTCCTTATATGTGTATAACAAAAACTTTAAAAAATCTTCTTTGAAAAAACTCTAATAGCTAGAGTTTAGATATTAAGCACGAAGCATCTTCTAGTTAGTGTCTACAAAGTTTGTACAAATAAAAGCCCTGTGGTCAAAATTGGCCCCGCCCCGGGGGACATTGATTTTCCTTATATGTGTATAGCAAAAACTTAATAATCTTTTCGAAAAAACCCGAAAAGCTAGAGTGTAGATATTAAGCATGAAACATTCTCTAGTAAGTGTCTACAAAAATTGTTCAAATAAAAGCCCTGGGGTTAAAACTAGCCCTGCCCCAGGGGTGTCATTGTTTTTAACTATATGTGTAAAGAAAAAACTTGACCAGCTGGACCTTAGATGTTTAGCATGAAACATCTTCTAATGGGTGTCTACCAAGTTTGTTAAAATAAAAGCCCTCGGGTTTAAACTGGCCCCGCTCCGGGGGCCTATTACAGGTGAGCGACTTCAGGGCCATCATGGCCCTCTTGTTTATTTTGTTTGTATTTTTTGTGTTTTTATTTTAGTTCATTTTTTTAGTTCAACTATTTTGTCGCATTTAAAACAAATTTAAATTTACATATTGTCACCTTAGTGCAGTCATGGCTTAAGTCCTTCTAAATTTAATAGGAGTTAACCAGTTATTGCACTAAGGTGACGATGTTCTCTTCTTAGTTATGTTTTATGATAAAATATAAAATGAACGTGATGGAAACATTAAACATTTTTTTAAACTTTTGTTATCAACACGAGTGGCTTTTCATTTAACATTTCAAATTAAGATTACAGGGTATATTTTCTAGGTAAATTTTGAAGACACCGATAAACATCTTATCTTCCCGATCCAGGAGTCTGTTTGTACACATCTGAATTTTTTACCTGCTATATTTTGTTCACAATTATGTGATAAGATACGTATTGATCTTGTTCTAGAACTGTGGGAAATTTAACCGATTTTTTTTTTTTTCAAAATATTTTGAGAAATAAAAAAAATGTTCTCACTGACTTTTTACTGGGTATGACTGAAATTTGCAGAGTTTTGTAATATTGATTTTTTTCTTCTCCATTTTGGTTATTTATTATTATCAATTTAAAGGAGCTGAGGTAAAAAAAAGCCTAAAAATATAAAATTTGAAATTCGTACATAGATCTGGTGAAGCACCTAAAATGGAAAAATCTGCAATGGGTAATAAAGAAATATGCTCAGAATTATGTTGAATATGGATTTTTTGTGCTATTCTTAGCCTGATATGAATATAAAAATATGACTGCAGGGTTAATTTTAAATTACCGTATGTATAAAAGACAAACATCTGAAATATTGCATGATTGTCCATATAGTCCGGTGAGTCAGAACCTCGACCATAAAATAATGTCCTGTTGTTGTTTCGAAAATTCGGTTAGGTCATGGTGCCATATACATCAAGAAACTGCCTTCAACTGCTCAGCGTTTTATGGATGCATTTATTTTATGATAACGCTGATTGACTTGAGTTTCTGGAAATAGAGAAAGCTACGACTGATGTAAGACATGTTGTATGGCATCCTGTCGTAACCATCGGTAACCGTCGACTATATAAGACACTTAGGCAACATTCATAATGTCATTAAACAAAGTAACAACGAACAAACTAGACAGTTTTAATTGTCTGGTATAATATTGTTCACCGACTTTTCCACGGAAAAAGAGATGGATGTGCATTACACATAAAAGCTGTGTGGTATAGACCATTTTATTTGTATATTTTTGCCAACGGTTTATTTTGTATATTTTGCCAATGGTTTTCAGGCATGCACATAATGACAGGTGCTATTTCTTGCAGTTTTTGATGCTATTTGTTACTTACTGTTTACTGTAAATTTCTATTTTAAGTTAATATGAACTCACTAAACTCTGGCTGTGGTATTTATAACTCTAATATTGACCAGTAAAATAGCAAGATTCAGGAAAGAGTGATGCTATGTAATTCTAAGCAAGGGAGGTAACTATAATCAGCTTTACATGAAATTTCTATTTGTAGTTACCCCCCTTTTAACTGTTTTATATTGAAAAAAGATATAACTGAACTATAGCTGTTAGTTATGATAAATGATCATGTTCATAGAAAATTTAAGTGTGGTCATTTTCAAAATTCACATACTATTTTATAAAAGGTCAAGTATAAAAGATTGATGAGGTTTTTTACAGATAAGATCAGAGTAAATATTCTTGACTTACCTCTTTTGTCTACTCTCTATAAAGGTAGAATCCGTACTTTTCAAAACTTTTAAGACTTGATATAAATTTAATTGAAATTTTCTGCTGGGCTGAGCAAATTTAGATTTTCAATTACAGTGGAGAAATAGGGTAGTGGTTTCTACTTGTTGATTGTTCCTTGTTTTTCTTTGATTTTCAAGATGAATGGTTAGAATACCTATGTTAATGTCTTTTGTTAGAGTACACAGAAAATCTCCCTTTTCAGAGACAGTTTTGTCAACCTAGATTAAGAATAGTACAATAATGGATGGAAGGTAATTTGGGGGAAAAAAAATATATATATATACATATATATAAATTTAAAAGTTGGATATAATTTCTATGGAATTTAAGTAAAATTTAATGTCTTACAGTTTTTAACCCTTAACCTGCTGAATTTCTTAAATGGACTTGTCCATCTGCCTTAATGGAACTGTCCATTATCAATTTTGGGGATGTCAGGATGAAAATTCAACAATATAGAGCCTGGTCAGACTGCATAGAATAAATAAATATAATATTTGAGATGTATTTTACTCATAATTCAAGTATTGACCGCAACACTGTTGTAAGTCCTTCTCTATTTCATACAAATTACTGCAGTTTTGCAGTAAGAGCCTCAACATACAGGAGTGCTGCTGCACTTTAATTTTGCAATTCCGTGCCGAAGTCTATTACAGGGCTGTAGAGGATTTCTCGAGTAGAGACGAAAATTGTTCCGATATCAAATCAAATTTTAAAGCTCCTGTGATTGAGAAAGGGGAAAAATAACAGAAAAAAAGCTATTAAATGAAATGAGACAAGAATGAATAGAATGTCTAGCTGAGAAAGATTGTATTGATATTGTTTAAGCTGGTTGATCGGAACAGATACTGGGAAATTGTTTAGCCCTTAAATTGATGAGTTTCTGAAATTGACTTGTTTAAAACCTGTCCATGTTCAGTTTTGGGGTAGGGAAGATGAAACAAT